GGTTGCACTGGATGAAAACAAGATAGATGATGTAAAAACAGATTAGCTCTGTGCAGGTAGACAGATCCCCCATTATCATTATAAATTTTGTATACCCCAAGTGAACCACTGCGTTCCCCTAGGGACATATGCAGACCTGTTTACTCTTACGATTTTGGCATACAATGTATGATTTTCAGGTGTATACATTATATATACTGCATGGTTTTTTTTACTATTAAGATAATGTACTGAAAGATTTTGTGATGATTTTGTACGATTTTAAGAGTTTGAGGGTAAACAGGTCTGCATATGTACCTCATTTTGGGAACCACTGTTCTAAACTTTATTCTTTTTATTTTAAATCCTTGTACTGACATGGAGGATGTTTCAACAGTGACAGGTCAATGTCAATGTCATGCTCCTCCTTGTTGAGCTGACATGTGCTGCTGGTGATGTAGTCTGTAGGACACGCAAACTCTGTAACCCATTCAATTGTAGCACTGCAGCTCACTAAAAAGTCTGTCAACAAGATGGGAGGTTTGCTCTGAAACAGACCATAAAAACCATAAACTAACCATTTTTATTTGGATGATTTAACAAAGATTACATGGAGAGAAGTAACTATTACCTAAATAAACAATATTTAAAGAGATTTCCAAGCAATCAAATTGTAAATGTAAAACATTCTAAAAAAAAAAACTAAAATTATTAGCGATGCTAAAATTCAACACTTATTTTTGTAAGTTACACTGAAAAGACATGTACTATTATCAGCCACCTTAAAACATTTAAAAAAAATTTTTTTTTAAATTATCAAATATGTAAAAAAAAAGAAAAAAAATGTAAATGCTAGTGATTACCCCGCCCCTCTCTGGACACCGGAAGTTGATTGTAGTTGAAGGATTTAACAAACATTTATCAGGTTTAGTAGTTGACGTATAAACAAGTCGAGCTCCTTCATTTGTTGACTCAAGAGCTGTGATAGGTTGACCAAAGTCATCTGCGGACCCAGCCAAAACCCTGCATGCAGCAGAGCCTTTTGGGCAGTTCTTTGTATCATTACCTGACAACAGAGCAAGGCAAAAAAACAACTTGGAAATTATGAAAAAAGGGAGATTAGATCATTAGAATTCCTGATTAGTGGACCAGGTATACAACATTACAGCAGCAATCTTCCACAAGAGTCTCACCAACAACTAATAAAAAGCCTCAACACCAATTTATAACATACTGCAGTTCATCTTTAATCATGATATGGTGTTCAACACATCAAACTACAATGAAGATTTTGACAACCATGAAAAAAAGCAAAGTTAATATAAAGGATTTAAAAATAGGGGACACTATCAGTTGAATTAACCACAGTCAGTCACTGTCATCAAGTCAGGAACACTGCTCAACTCTATAATTACAATGACTCTCAACACACACTGGAACTTACGAAAACAGTCAGTCACTGTCATCAAGTCAGGAACACTGCTCAACTCTATAATTACAATGACTCTCAACACACACTGGAACTTACGAAAACTGTCAACACACTACGGCCACTGATTTAATAGAACTAACTAACCTTCTCGAGTTCCCACTTTATATTACCACACTTTTAGTATTATTCTACTCTCAAACAATGCCATTTAGACACCATAATAAGACTCACACCACACGATCCAAAAATGTCCACCAGTAACAACCTGATTATATGGCTTGACCATCTGGTTAAGTTAAAAGTTGGATATAAATATGTCCCTGTTTCAACTAGGTCTGAGTTAAGATCAATACAAACAGTTGTGTCCCTATTTTAAATAGGTTGGGGTTAAGATCAATACAAACATACCTGGAGTAATGTCCCTGCAGACATTGATAAAAATCTTTCTTTGGTGTGTCTCATCTGCTTCTACTAGATGTGCTCCAGTTAGTTTGGTCAGAGGAGAAAGATCTATCAAACTCCCATCTTTGACTACTGCACATGGAACTTCTTTTTCAGGGGCTGGAAGATTCTTGCAGAACAAGTATGACTTCCATTCAAAGTGAGTTGAGCAGAGGAAATCACCCATGTACTTTGGATAGCCCTGTGAAAGCAAAGACCATGACAGCTGTTACACTCATTTCAATGAGTTTTGCTATCTTAATCATACTTTGTGTATTTGAATAATGATATTTTCACTGTGACACAACATTGAGAGAAAATTACATGATAAATAAAGCAAGCAGAAATGTGGAGAAATTTTAAGATTTTTTTTTTAAAACTAGATGAACGAGTTGACAAAGTGAACTTTAAAGATATTTTTAATTTGGGTGGACAAGTTGACAAAGTGAACTTTTAAGATATTTTTAAACTGGGTGGACAAGTTGGCAAATTTTGGTACTTTAAAAAAGGTCTTTGAAAGAATTATACAAATCATGAGAAAATGTGCATTATTAGTACATAACACAAATATGGATGCTAAATGTTTTTAAAAATGTATCCTCTTTCTATAAAGACAATGTCTACAAGACTGCTTTAATAAAGGGGTAGTCGTGGTACTTTGTTACTAAGACATGAGGGAATCAACAGAAGGCGTTTATTTATCCCACTAGCTTCTCAAACTGGCTCTCTTTCAACTCTTACTGGTCATGGCTCATATCATCTGTTCCATAGGCTAAATATGCTTATCAGTCATGATTAGTTCATGGCTGCCTGTCTCGGACTGTGCTCCTGACAAATACTGATCTACCTGTCCTGGACTGTACTCTTGACAAATTCTAGATCTGCATGTCTTGGACTGTACTCTTGACAAATCCTGCCTTTCTTGGACTGTACTCATGACAAATTCTGATGTGCCTGTCTTGGACTGTACTCTTGATAAATTCTAGATCTGCCTGTCTTGGACTGTACTCCTGGCAAATTCTGGGCTGCCTGTCTTGGACTGTACTACTAACAAAGTCTTGTCTGCCTCTCTTGAGTCCCTTTGGTCTTCCACACAACTAACCAGCTTACATCCTCTAACCCAGCTTATCTCATCTAAATGCTCACAACTAACCCAGTTAATATCCTCTAAATTTAATGTTCACAAATAACCCAATTTATATCCTCTAAACTAAATGTTCACTACTAACTCAGCATTGTATCCTCTAAATGTTCTACTTTTAAGTGGTTCAGCCTATGTTTTTGATGTGATGAGCTACTATGCTCAACTCCTTATTTCTCCCTCCTCTATTTGCCTAATTAATTCACTGAAAGGTTTGCTTTCAATCTATCAAAGATGTGCTGGGTAACAAAACAAACCACTTTGGACCATAAATGTGTTGCTAAACAGAGTGGTGTGCTTTCCCCATTGCAGACTCTTCACCGGATGGACATATTTCAAAAATAAAATAGACCACATCTAACCTCCAGTATTCTAAGAATATAATCCTACATATACAACATATTTAGGTATTTTCAACTTCTTTTTATGACTAATGTTTAATAATCAGCAAGGTTTAAATTTAAACAAATCTATCATTGATCTAATAATATGTGTAATTGTTAGCTGTAAATGGTACAGAGTGGTACAGATATCTTCCACAGGACTAAAAGCTAACCTACTTTTATTAATATTGTAGCTATACCTCATGGCAGCAATTCAAGGGCTATTGGGCTAGCATCTAACACTTTTAACTTAACTAAAGGAAAATTTTGACATTTGAATATGTAAAAGAAATTATTTTTAGCTGATTATAAAACACACAAAACTGAAGTATTACCAGGGTTTTGCCACATTTGAAATAAAATATTGTTGAGTAAAATTCTGAAAGATGTCCTGGGCATGGCTGTCCCTTTAACATTAGTAAAACTACACCATCTGGTCCTCCTGGTGTTTCCATAACTGATGCATTAGAACTATAGTTGCCATAGCTTATTGAAGTTCCATTCGGATATGTCAAACATATGGAAGTTCCGTCCGGACAATTATGGGCATTTGGCAATTTGTCTTGAGCTAATTTACTGCATAAGCTAATTTGAATAGTAGCATTTTGGAAGTCATTAACAGTATTCCATGGACTGAATCTGTGAACAATTGAAAAGCATAGAATTAATTATTGGAAGATAGGATATAATTCATGTATTTATAAAAAAATTTCTTCTACTTTGCAATGAATACTTCATAAAGTGCCTGAGTCAGCAAATGATGTGCAAATGATTTGAATATAATATGAATATGAGGCTACTCTACTGTATGAATTCCTGTGTTAATAAATTAGTTTGCTCAGTAATCTATGACTAAAAATTTTAAAGTAAAAGAAAAACCCAAAACATTGACTTGTGTAAACACACATGACTCATTCAATTGACTGGTCATACTCCAAAAATATTAGTTTAAAACAAATGTTTAACTTGCATTCCAAGTTGGAATGGGCATGGAGATTTGGCCCACTATCTCATTTAGTGACATTTATTAGTCATACTTCATATTAAAAATTATTTCATTGTAGTAAATTATAATTAATTATATTATATAGTCTAGTATTTATTTATAGTATAGTTTATATTATAATTATATTATATAGTTATAAGTTATAGTAACAAAAAAGTTAAAAAGTCATGAGTAGGCCTAATATTCATATGATACTATTACTATACTAGAATAGGAAATAAATTTAATATTACTAATACTATGCATTACTAGATTTTTAGTAGAATTTAATTTAAGTAAAATTAAATAGTAAATAGTAATAGTAGTTAGTTATAAAAATATTAAAATATGATTTTTTTTTTTTAAAAAAGGTCCTTTATTTGTATATTAGAACTTGGGGCAACTTGGGGTTAACTAGCGTTTACTTTGGCATAATTACTAAAACTAACTTAACTTACGAGTGTAATGTTGATACATCAAAACTTCCTATTTTACACACATCTGCTAATGCTAAAGATGAAAATAGCAAAAGCAGTAGGAATATTTTTCTTCCGTGTACAGTGGCAGCTGCCATTTTGTTTGTACCTACTAATAGATTAGGTTTGATATTTTAAAGAACTCAACACATGACCAACAAGCGATCGTCATGTGACTTGTTAAACTTGCTAGAAGTTCTTCTTTTTATGGAGTTGTAATTGTATTAAATTGTAAACATGGAGGAGGTCCCACTTATAACCTGGACTCAAAAGCTTGTTTTGTATGAAACAAAAGCGGTTGGTCACTTTCTAGTTATCTAGGCCATAAATTTAATATTGAGAATCTCCAGCAACATATCCAAACATTAGCACAACATGGGACATCGATTAACATAGTAGATTTAGACTCAGATTATAATAAATAAAGAAGGGAAGCGTTATCCACACAGTCACAGCTCTGTGAATAACGTTGAGCGTTATCGGCAGACCGAGATCTGCGAATAACGCCGAGCGTTATCGGCAGACCAAAATCTGCGAATAATGCAGAGCCTTATTGTTAGACAGAAATTTTCTCATAATTACGCACATTTCTAGAAATAATTAAGATCACATTCCAAGCCGGGGTACGGGTAGGGGTGTAGTTTTAAGTAGTGTAGGATAGTAGGATAGATCGATCGTTAATGAGAATGGCACAAACACATCTCAAAACCCAAGCTACCCGTATGCACAAGTTAAATTTAATAGGCCCATCTATAGCCTATATATTGGATATAGGACAATTAATTGTGCCTACATCTGCTGCCACTGTTAGGGGCCAACATGGTATTTCCTATTAAATGTTATACCAGTAATAAAAATGGTACAGGTATTCTTCATACACTTTCACCCATTGTAGAGATGTCTTTAAATGATGTCAAAGCTTGATAGGATATCGTTTAGTTTTTTTTTAAAAGTGTGCACTTCTATTGCTGCCCACAGATACTACTTTCAAGCTAAGTGCTATTTCTTATTTTTATACCGTTTTTTCTGTTGTTTTGTTCGCTGACGAAGGCTTTCTGCCGACACGTTCGCTGTTTTGTTGTGTGTATTTTTTCAGGTTCTACCCTACTCTGTTTTACTAATTTTATTTTGTACTAACCTGATTGCAGTCTCTCCCCTTATTACCCCTGTCTCCATCAGGCGGCCATGTGAGAGACGGGGAGGGGCATATAGGCCCTACATCGATAATAACAGAATCTAATCCTGTTTAAGGCTAGTATTTTTTCCTGATCCTTGCGGGTGTCCCTAAGTCTACCCAGCTCTGGCCTTAGCTGGGGAAAAGTATAGCTGGCTGGTTGTTGCGCTGGCCATACACTCAAACTTCAATTGCCCCAAGGGAACTTTACTTCCCAAAGACTCGCAATGCATCCTACGACCAGCAGGGTTCCAATTAATTTTTGTATGCTTTTTTTAAATTTAGACCCATAGTTACAACAGTGGCAGTATGGCTTTTTGTTTCAATTATCAACATTTTTTTTACAAGAGCTAAAATTGTTGATGTCAATGATATTGATGTGTTTTAAGTACGGTACCGGTATGTTCCTTTCATTGTCATCACTAAATGTTATTTCAACTATTTCTGGAGCGGCATATTGTGTCCCTACTTATTATGATACTTATTAGAAAATAAAATGAAACAAATAAAACGTGACATATTTTTTCAGCTAAACATTAATACACAACTCTGTGATCTAAAATATTTGAATAAGTAAGTTATTAATAAGTATTTGTTTATTAGAGAAAAAACAAATGGATGTTAAAGTCTATGAGTGGAATTATACAAAGAAAATTAAACAGTCAAAAGAGCTAAAAGTATATCACAATGTACAGTTAGATCAGCTGTATCTGACTTAAACATGGTTTATGCGGCTCATCTGCATGTCCATGTTGTTTACAGTTTTTTGACGAAACTTGAATGAACATTTGAACAAAATAGATTGAAACTTGTAACATAAGTAACAAAACTACATGAAAATAATAATAAAACTATGTGAACAGAATAAGAAAGCTATATGAAGAATATTATTATAATATAACACTACGAAATAACCATTAAATATTTTTTTTTAAATTTTATTTATAAAAATGAGGCTTCCCCAACGGGGAATCGAACCTATGTTTGCGGGGTGACGGGCGGAGATACTAACCACTACACTGTTAAGGAGATGTTTACATACGAATTTTGTATTTTATATTCATAATTTAATTTATCACATTCTGCCAATAATGTTGAGCGTTATCGGCAGACCGAAATCTGTGAATAACGGCGAGCGTTATCCGCAGCTCTGTGAATAATCACTTCGAATAAAGAATCATGGCATGGCATCATGAGTCATGGTACCAACAATCATAATTATTATTATTAATAGGCATAAAAAAATTATGTATGGCATAGGCATAGGTCATAGACAGTCACAGTCCTTACATTTTCCCTTCATATTTGAATAAGATTAGATTCTATGGTAAAAGATGAGTGTGGATGCCATGATAGGCTGCCATCTTGGTTGAGGAGACCACTTAATTCTGTCACTAAATTTAAGTAATCTTATCCCTAAACCTAACCTGAACCCTAAATGTATCCCTAAACCTAACCTGAACCCTAAAATGTATCCCTAAACCTAACCCGAACCCTAAAAAAATGTATCCCTAAACCTAACCTGATTCTTTTAAATTTAAATGGAAATGTTTTTTGATTGTATTATATAGGTACTCGGATACAATTTTCAAATTCAATGAATTATTAATTAAGAAATGAACACAAATGTAAGATAGCCCTTGTTAATTGGAGTAATAATATGTTTTCATTTTTCATGTAGCACTTTTGGTTAAAAAGTTATGATTTTTTGTGCATAAAAAATCACTTTTTTTAACATAGAGATTTCTGACCACTTTTCAAACAAATTGTACGAAAAGGCTCATAACTTTATAGCAGACTGGACAAATAATATGATACTTTTCAGAAGTGTTCATCATCGTATTATCAACATCTTTGTTGCTTTAAAAACTAAAAAAATTAAATAGAATAATTTTAAAATATTTTTTAATGTCATTAAAAAACTTTAAAAAAAAAAAAATTTTTTAAATTATTGAAAAAAATTAAGACCAAACGTAATTTATTTTAAAACAGGAAATATAATAGAGGCAATTTTACAATAAAAATTATGATTTAATTTGAAAAGGAGCAATATCTGATAAAATATTAGTTAATATGTCTATTATTGCAGCAGCATAGATATTACAATAAAACCTAATATTAATTAAGATAGAACTTGATTGATTTAAGAATTATAAGATGTCTTGAGCTTTCTTATCTGTCAACTAGTGATAAATAATGCTGTTTCCGGTTTATTACTTTAGTTTTCCGCCATCCTTTTGTTTCAGCTTTAGACACCCATTTGGCCAAAAATAACAATGTCTTTGTGGTCTTCCATCCATCCCTGTGGCGCTACAGCCCATGTAGGGCTTTGGCCTGCCTCACCACTTCCTTCCACTCAGACCTAACTAATGCCTTTCTTTACCATGCTTGGACTTTCAACTGCTGTAGATCATTTTCCACATCATCTATCCACCTAAGCCTAGGTCTGCCTTTGAGCCTTTTTCCTCTGGGATATTGGTGATGCACCCTCTTCGTTCCTCTGTCATTTGGCATTCTCTCTAGGTGTCCTGCCCAGTGTAGCCTGCCTCTTTTTATTTCTGCCACAATCGTGGGATCCTGATATAGACTGTATAATTCATGGTTGGTTCGTATTCTCCATCTATATCCATCCCTTGTTGGCCCATATATTTTCCTGAGAACTTTCCTCTCTCATGTGTTTAATAGGTTTTCTGCTGTTTTTGTAAGGGTCCAAGTTTCACTTGCATATGTTATAACTTGTCTGATTACAGTTTTATAAATAGTTTTCTTTGTTTCTCTTGTAATGTTTTTACTTTTGAGTATTTTCTGACTACTGAAAAATGCCCTATTTCCGGCTGATATTCTTTCTTTTATTTCTGTTAGTAATTCGTTTCTTTCATTTAACAAGGATCCTAGGTATTTAAATTGATTTACTTTTTCAAAAGTCTGGTTTCTAATTTTTATTGCTTCATCTGTTTTTTCTTCTCTTATCATGGTCATGTATTTTGTTTTTTGGTTGTTAACTTCCAGCCCTTCTTGTAGAGATGGGTCTTCTAATTCAATAAACGATTTTTATATGTCTTTAATACTTTTCCCTATAAGTGCTATGTCATCAGCGTATGCAAGATACTGAAGTGGTTGGTTGTAGAGTGTGCCCGGTGGTTGTGGGTTTTTAGTTTCCCTCAGAAAGTATCCTGTTATCGTTCCTTCAGTGTCAATGTGTATGTTTCTAATAACTCTCTCTAATGTTAGGTTAAAAAGCATACAAGACAGTGAGTCTCCCTGTCTTAGGCCTTGTCTAATATGAAATTTCCTTGAATATTCTCCTTGAATCTTAATTTTGCTTTTTGAGTTGTTTAGTGTTACATGTATTAGTCTTGTCAGTTTGTTGGGTATCCCAAACTCCTGCAGAGTCTCATATAGTTTCTTTTGATGCTGTCATAGGCCATTTTATAGTCCACATAGAGTTGATGTACTGGTATATTATATTCATAGCATTTCTCTAATAGGCATCTGATGGGGAAAATCTGATCAGTCGTTGATCTGTTAGGCCTGAATCCACATTGGTAATCACATTGTATTTATTCAGTGTAAGGTTGTAGTCTTTTGGCAATAAGCTTCGTCAGTATTTTGTATGTAACCTTTAATAGGAAGATTCCTCTGTAATTTGTGCACTGAAGTTAGGAGCCTTTCTTGTGTATTGGGGTTATTAATGCTGTTTCCCACTCTGTCGAGATTTTCTCTTCTTGCCAAATTTTAGTTATAAGTTTATGTATCTGATTGTGTAACTCTTTTCCTCCACATTTAATCAGTTCTGCTGAGATGAGGTCTTGTCCGGGGGCTTTGTGATTTTTCATATAATTAATTACCTCTTTGGTTTCTTCTAGGGTTGGGCTTTGTATATAAGGGTCTGGTCCTCCCTGAGGGAGTTGATAATCTTCTTCTTGTCTATTGTCTGCATTCAGTATGTCCTCAAAATATTCAGCCCATCTCTCCAGTACTTTACTATTTTCCATGATTAATCCTCCATTGTGGCTCTCACACATTTGCGGTCTGGCTTGGTATCCATTCTTTTCATCTTTTATTTTCAAGTACATTCCTCTTATATTTGTTCTCCGCAAACGCAAGTTCGACCATGCAAAAACACTTCTGAGAGAGTGGCATTGGCTACTGGTGCGTGCTCGCATAGAGTACAAAATCGCAACTTTGTGATACCGCTGCTTAGATGACCTGGCGCCGTCCTATCTGAAAGAGCTGCTGACGCCTTATGTACCCACTAGAGAGCTCCGCTCATCCGATAGTGGCAAACTCTCGACACCACGTGTTTGCCTTGAGACTTACAGAAAGCGCACTTTCGCATTTGCTGGTCCAACAATTTGGACCGCCGTTCCTGTCGATCTTAAAAACAACCAGACACTAGAGTCCTTTAAAACCGATTTATAGACACACCTATTTAGCAAACACCTTCTGGGATGATCGTCTACCTTATTTTCCAGTTAATCCATAATGGCTGTGTTGCTCCGGGTTGAAATGGCTAGAAAGACTTTGACATTATATGCTTGTAATTAGTTTTTGTAGTGTTGCGTTTGTTTTAAATGTGGTAAATTATAGATTTGTTTTTTGTTGACTTTGTACCGCGCTTCGAGCCTTTGGGGATGAAGCGTGTTTTTGAAATGAACTTTATTATTATTATTGTTATATTTCCCTCTCTTGATAAATCTTCTATTTCCTTTAATTTATCTTTTTCCCATTCCCTCTTTTTCTTCCTACACATTTTTGTTGCTTTACTTCTGGCTTCCTTGTATGTTTGTGTTGTCTTTCTGGTTTCCCTTTGTAACATGATCATTCGTGTTTTTTTTCTTTCTTTCACAGTCTCTCTGCATTCATTGTTGAACCAGCCTACTCTATTGTGCTCTACTTTTTCTGCTGATCTTTTAATGGTATTTTTTATCCTATCCCATTAATCATTTATGTTGTTTTCCCCGTTTACTTCCTCCTGTGATGCTTCTAATTGGGTTTCTACTTCATTGTGGTAAGCTTTTGCAGTTAATGGGTCTTTGAGCAGCTTTTGGTAATCGTATTGTTTCTCTCTTAGATTACGACCATTGTAAATTAAGCTTATTCTCTATCTATACTTCACCCTTAGAAGTAGATGGTCCGAGTCCGCATCTGCTCCTCTAAGGTGTTTGTGGTCTTAGAGACTTGGAATTTGACATGGTCATTTTTGATACAATTTGACAGGTACACCAGGTCGATTTAAAATGGGACAGCAAATAGTTTTCAAAATATTGATAAATTAGACTTGGCTGCTTTCTCAATTTTTTTAAATTTATGACATACTGATATTACTGAAAACAAAATGGATGTCGTTAAAGCCCGTTCATTAACGTAACTAGAACAGTAATTCATTTGTTCATCCGACGTTTCTAGCGCAAAAAAATACTTTTTTAGTGAACCCTATCATCCAGGACACCCATAAAAGGGTCTCAAAACCCTATGGGCCGCGATTGTGTTGAAATAGCCTCATATCCAAGTACCTTATACATTTCAGCACAAAAATAAAACAATTTGAGCACAAGACATTTATAATAAATTATTTCAAACAGCCATTCAGTGAGTTCTCTTAGCAAAATCGGGGACTTATTAGTTCTCATCCAGATGTGTGACTTCAGAGGAAGCACGCTGGTAAATTCTTACAGATTGGGGAACACTCTGATGGAAAGAATTCATCCCGAACGGCCCAATCCTAAGTATCTGTGATGAAGAGGGTGGGATGTATCATCCAAAATGTGTTTAGTTTTACAAAAACATGTTTCTTAAAACAGTTCTTCAAGTGAAGGATGTTTAGTTTGTGTTATGTTCCTAGCTTTCTTGTTTAGTGGGTTTATGCGGTGTTTAATATCAGACGTTGAATAAGTTAATGACTTGCTTGTTTACGCCGAAATTGTACAGTTTTTTGAGGTAGAACAGTCTTTGATTGAATTTCTTATACAACATATTGCCGTGCTCATGCCATGTTAGCTTATTATTAATGGTGACACCTAAGTACTTGTATGCCTCCACTTTCTCTACATTTTGATTTTTTTATGTTGCGATCTGTAATCTGGTGTTTCCCCCTCCTGAAATTAACAACCATTTCCTTTGTTTTTGAGACATTCAACTGGAGAAAATTTTCATCGCACCAATTGATAAAGCTTGTAACTAAGTTGCAGTATAGGCCTTCTCCTTCAGATATTAAGCCAACAATGGTGGTATCATCAGCAAATTTTAAGATTGGAACGGTGTTGCTTGAGCTTTGAATATCATTTGTATATATTGTATACAGTACAGGAGAGAAAACGCAGCCTTGTGGGGCCCCGGTGCTTATTTCTCTGGTTAGAGATAAGTGGTTATTTACTTTGACATATTGTGGGCGATTTGTTAAAAAGTTCAGTATCCAAACCTGAATATTTAAATTGACACCTAATGAGGAAAGTTTCTTTATTATAAGGTGTGGTTGGATAGTGTTAAATGCTGACGAGAAGTCTAAGAAAAGCACTCTGGCATATGTTTTAGAATTGTGTAGGTGATGGTAAAGTCTCTCCAATAATAGTAAGATTGCATTCTCTGTACTTCTGGCAGGTTTGTAAGCAAATTGGTGGGAGTAAAGTTTTTGCTGTACTTCATTCAAAATTTCTTTCAGAATTATTTTATCAAAACATTTCATGACAATAGAGGTAAGTGCAACAGGTCGTGAGTCGTTGTTACACGTTACCTTAATTGTGTTTGGAATTTGTATGATTTCTGAAGTTTTCCAAATTGCTCATATTGTGTGAGTTACATAAGATTTATTAAATATGTAACAAAAAATGTAGGAGAGCTGCAATAAGTTATTGTTCCGCAATTGTTTTCGTGGAGATGATATAAAGTTTTTCGGTAAATTCACAGAAGAGGTGCCATGTTTTTTTTTCCAATGGCGATCTAGGTTGACAAGACCAGTTTATTCTGTCACTAAATCTAAGTAAATGTATCCTTAAACCTAACCTGAACCCTAATTCACAGCAACTTTAATAAACATGCAAATGAAATCGTGGCATCCTATCCTAGTTTAAGCCACTTTTTCTTTTACGAATGTGCTGAAATGAATATGTACAACAATGTCATAAAAAACATTTCCATTTATTTGGATCAATAAAAGAATAACCATTTAAATAGCACTTCAAACTGGAGCCATACTATTTTTTAATAACCCACGCTCAAGTGGTAATTTTCCTTAGCGGGCTTCCATTAATTACATCAACAAAATAGGGGGGGGGGAGTTTGGAAATGTTTGACAGTTGTTGACAAGGGGGAGGGAGGGGGTTTAAATTAGTTGCCGTCAACAATCATGTTTTCTGTATTAAAATTTTAATCTTATAAATTGACTGATTATTACATTTAAAAAAAAAAAATTATAAGTGTAAATGAGTGCTGTAAATAGTCCTATAATTTTTAGGATTTTAACACTATAAGAGTTATTTATTGTGTGTCTGTGCACTGCAGATTGTTGGTCAGAATGTTAGCACACTTTGTTAGTGCAAGAAAAGTCAAAAGTTGACTGTAGTAACACTAATAACATCGCTGCGTGACAAGGGTGCCGGGTGGCCGAGTGGTCTAAACTGACTCGCTCCAAATAGTGGTGGTCTGGAGCTCAACCTCCGCCAAAGCCAAAATCCTAAGCACCCCAGGTGGATGGGACTCGTTAGCGTTGGAAGGCAACTCATTTAAGAGAAGGCTAACTCTGAACCAGGCGCCAAAAAGATCAATAAATTGATCGTGGGCCCTCAAATGAAAAAAAAGTCATGTTGAAAAAGCATGTTCAACAGCACTGACAATGCTCTCTTGAGCATAAGAAATTAGCACCTGGTCCTCAACAAAAATAGAATTTGACCAATGCGAGTAGCTGCAAGGAGATAGACAGAGCTTATGGCATTTATTGCTTACACCGAATATTGCATTTATTTTAAGTACTGAATGGTTAGATGAGAATCAGTGCCGCAAGATGAAAATGATAAATCAGCTACTATAGACTATGCCCACCAAGGGCGTCAACTCATATTTTTTTTCAGGGGGAGGGGGGCAAAGCCAAAACTTGGTCGGCTTGTTAAGTTGTTTATTACTGGAGGTGCCACAGTACATAGCAATTTAAATAAAACCTGCAAATTAGGGGGTGGGGGCAAATGCCCCCCTGCCCTACCCAAATGATGTCCCTGATGCCCATTGTTACGATAGAGCAAACCTGGCTACTCCTTGGAAAGATGATAGCAGCTAGAAACTATGCTTTAAGTGTCAGCTTTACTGACAATAATCATAGTTCTACCACAAACAATGATCTTTATTCTTTAATAACATTTCAATTGATTCTGCATTATAAAATTTAAGTGTATAAACTTTTTAACTTGTTGATTAACAAGCTAAAGATGTAATGAAATATTTTTCCCACAAGTTTGTGCCATTAAAATAGCTCAGCAAAAAGTCAAATGTATTTATAAATTTATTTATAATGTAATTCCTTTTTTTTTTTTTTTTTTTTTTTTTTTTTTTTTTTTTTTTTTTTTTTTTTTGAGTGGGTGGGAGGGTGTAGAATATAAAATGTTAACATAATTAAATAGGGAGGTCATTGGAAGTTTGACAGTTGTTGACAAGGGGGAGGGGATAAAAAATTACTTTAAAATTGTTGATGTAATTAATGAACGACACTTTAACTTAATCAGTTGAGTGATTAGTCTGATTGATTTGGTTCACTCACACTCACACCGACTCACTGATACATCCATCTAAAATTAAGTCTTCACCAAACTCTTTAGTCAATAAATATAACTTAAAAATGGTTGCAGTACAGATACTATAGTCATATCAGTATCAGTCAGATATGCTATTGCTAAATATTAATATTAAAGAAATCTTTTTAAAAAATATGAAGAAGATGTCATTTTTATTAGTTTCATATTAGTTTGGCATAACTTGTTGAAAAAAGTCAATATACCGGTATAATATCCTCATCAGAAGTCTTAAAAGTACATTTAATACCTTGCCACATTAAAAATGTAACTGTGCACATTAGGCATAAGGTCCTTAGCATATCTTGAATCAAGATAACTCAAGTTGTTGAAGAAAGTCAAAGCATAATAATAATAGCATCATCACAATTCCTAAATTTACATTTGATATCTTGGTACATTAAAATTGCACACATAAGCCTATCTTGAATCATATGAAACCCTTCTAAATCTAATGTATAAATCAATAACGTCATGAATGGTGACAAGTGAGAAATTATTCAAAATTATTGCAGTTTTATTTCAGCGCTATTACATTGTGGGCTCAAATAAGTCAGAGACACGCTTCAGAGTTCTCAAGATTGATCGGACAGAACCAAGGGAGCTAGTTATTCATGATGATAAGGTAAATCTACACTTGTACTGGCAAAAGCAATTCATTACTCTGGGCCGATCAAAGGATCTTGATTTAACTTTAACCTTATAATTGTATATTTTAAAGTATTAATTTTCGGTCAACTTAGGCTTTAAGCTTTCCACCAGAGTTTCAGTGGATGAGTGAACTCCACTTAGTTGCAGATTCTTACTAGAGTAATCTATGCTCTTTTTTATTTTAATACTTGGATGGAATATTTTTATTTGATGGCTTTAACAAAAAATTAATACAGCGTAGAGTGGTTAAATATAATATTTCAAAATAAGTCTATTTTAACTATAAGATTATAAAATGAGGCTATTTGTCAGTGTCATGTGAAAAATGGATTTGGATTTTTTCTGACATCTTTTGTATTTTATTTTTGGTGGAACCTGTAATTAAGTATTTAAAAGTGTATTCAATTAAACTTTAAGTTTGGTTTTCAAGAAGTACCCCACGCAGAACATAGGACAAGGCTTAAGGTGTATCAGCATAAATTTACCTTAATTTTCTAACATTTCACACATTGATAGAAACTTTGAGCCTAGCCATCCAGAGGAGCTTACATGGGAGCTTAAATGGAAGCTTACATGGGAGCTTAAATGAGAGCGTAAATGGAAGCTTACAAGGGAGCTTAAATGGAAGCTTACATGGGAACTTAAATGGAAGCTTACATGGGAGCTTCAATTGAAGTTTACATGGGAGCTTATATGGAAGTGCATATGGGAGTTTACATGGAGATTAAATGGTAGCTTACATGGGAGCTTACAAGGGAGCTTAAAAGGAAGCTTATGTGAGAACATTGTAAATCCCATCTACATGCATAGGAGCCAAAATGATCAATAAATTGATCATGGGCCCTTAAGATATAGAAGAAGAAGAAGAAGGGAGCCTATGTGGAAGTGCATATGGGAGCTTACATGGGAATTAAATGGGAGATTTTACTGTACTGATTAACCATCCAAAGGAGCTGACATGGCAGCTTACATGGTAGCTTACATTGAGGTACTGATAAGCCAGCTGTGTTGTGTCTTTACTTTGTTTGTGGAAGTTGTCAATTCAGGACTTTTGTCTCATAAAGTTGTGCAAGTATGACTGCATTCATGTAAAAAATGTCAAGTTTGTTTTTATGAAAGCTAATTTTATGAGATAAATATTTGTTTGACTTGTGCAGGTGGAATACAGCCGAAGTGAAATCCGAAGTGTCTTGTCCATGATTGATGGCGGAAACAAGCCCAAGAAACAGGGAGCCGGAAACGCCGGTTTATCCAAAAATATTTCAGCATTTGGCCTGGCAGGTTATATTCTGTTGTAACTTTTATAGTGGGAGAATTTTTGGGGTTGATTTTTTTAAGGAATAGTTGTAACTGACTTTTTCTTGGCATCAACAATTTGAGACCAATCATTGAACAATCATTGATAAGCTATTTGATTTAATTAATTACTAAATTATTTGCTAAAAATTAATCTTGGAAACTGTATAAGTACATATCATTCACAATTTTATAAATATTTGTATCTTTTAGTTGTCACAACGGCTAAAAAATAATTTTTCCAATATAAACATTTTTCCATGCAGGTTTTGTCCGATTCCTAGAGGGCTACTATATGATCCTAGTGACAAAAAGAAAAAAGGCCGCCGTCATTGGATCTCACACAATCTACAAGATTGAAGATACATCCATGCTTTACATTCCAAATGACAGTGTGAGATATGTACACCCAGATGAGAGCAGGTAATCTAGTCAAATGACAGTGTCAGATATGTACATGCAGATGAGAGCAGGAAATCTAGTCAAATGACAGTTTGAGATATGTACATCAGGTGTGTTGTAGAGTGTATCAGTTTTACAATAATGTTAACTGACCAAGTATTTCACTGACCAAGTAATTCACTGACCAAACTGACCAAGTATTTCACTGACCAAGTAGTTCACTGATCAAGTCGTTCACTGACCAAGTATTTCACTGATCAAGTAGTTCACTGACCAAACTGACCAAGTCAATTTCACTGACCAAGTAGTTCACTGACCAAACTGACCAAGTAGTTCACTAACCAAAATGACCAAGTAGTTCACTGACCAAACTGACCAAGTGTTTCACTGACCAAGAAGTTCACCGACCAAACTGACCAAGTAGTTCACTGACCAAGTAGTTCACCGACCAAACTGACCAAGTAGTTCACTGACCAAACTGACCAAGTAGTTCACTGACCAAGTAGTTCACCGACCAAGTAGTTCACCGACCAAACTGACCAAGTAGTTCACCGACCAAACTGACCAAGTAGTTCACTAACCAAACTGACCAAGTAGTTCACTGACCAAGTAGTTCACTGACCAAGTAGTTCACCAACCAAACTGACCAAGTAGTTCACTAACCAAACTGACCAAGTAGTTCACTGACCAAGTAGTTCATTGACCAAACTGACCAAGTAGTTCACTGACCAAGTATTTCACTGACCACACTGACCAAGTAGTTCACTAACCAAACTGACCAAGTATTTCACTGACCAAGTAGTTCACTGACCAAGCAGTTCACTGATCAAACTGACCAAGTAGTTCACTGACCAAGTAGTTCACCGACCAAACTGACCAAGTAGTTCACTGACCAAACTGACCAAGTAGTTCACTGACCAAGTAGTTCACCGACCAAGTAGTTCACCGACCAAACTGACCAAGTAGTTCACCGACCAAACTGACCAAGTAGTTCACTAACCAAACTGACCAAGTAGTTCACTGACCAAGTAGTTCACTGACCAAGTAGTTCACCAACCAAACTGACCAAGTAGTTCACTAACCAAACTGACCAAGTAGTTCACTGACCAAGTAGTTCATTGACCAAACTGACCAAGTAGTTCACTGACCAAGTATTTCACTGACCACACTGACCAAGTAGTTCACTAGCCAAACTGACCAAGTATTTCACTGACCAAGTAGTTCACTGACCAAGCAGTTCACTGATCAAACTGACCAAGTAGTTCACGGACCAAACTGACCAAGTATTTCACTGACCAAGTATTTCTTTGACCACACTGACCAAGTAGTTCACTGACTAAACTGACCAAATATTTCACTGACCAAGTAGTTCACGGACCAAACTGACCAAGTATTTCACTGACCAAGTATTTCACTGACCAAACTGACCAAGTAGTTCACTGACCAAGCTGTCCAAATATTTCACTGACCAAACTGACCAAGTATTTCACTGACCAAACTGACCAAGTAGTTCACTGACCAAATTGACCAAGTATTTCACTGACCAAACTGACCAAGTATTTCATTTTGAACAGATATGTCAAGATGTTTCAAACTGTGGACCTGTCAAGCAATTTTTACTTTAGGTAAATATGTCCACTTGAAACTGTGCCAATAAAGTAAATAACTTGTTTCATATAACATTGTGGTTATTACTAAACAGAAATAAGAACTTATACTTATGAAGATAACTTTCTGAACCTCTGTGACCCCCCTCCCCCCCACCCCCTTCCTCAAAAATAAAGAAATATCTCTGTTATTGACATTATTTGTTCATACAGCCGAAATTGTTCAATAAGCTGTCCAGATCTATATCTGCTTAAAATAAGCTGTCCAGATCTATATCTGCTTAAAATAAGCTGTCCAGATCTATATCTGCTTAAAATAAGCTGTCCAGATCTATATCTGCTTAAAATAAGCTGTCCAGATCTATATCTGCTTAAAATAAGCTGTCCAGATCTATATCTGCTTAAAATAAGCTGTCCAGATCTATATCTGCTTAAAATAAGCTGTCCAGATCTATATCTGCTTAAAATAAGCTGTCCAGATCTATATCTGCTTAAAATAAGCTGTCCAGATCTATATCTGCTTAAAATAAGCTGTCCAGATCTATAGCTGCTTAAAATAAGCTGTCCAGATCTATAGCTGCTTAAAATAAGCTGTCCAGATCTATAGCTGCTTTAAATAAGCTGTCCAGATCTATAGCTGCTTTAAATAAGCTGTCCAGATCTATAGCTGCTTAAAATAAGCTGTCCAAATCTATAGCTGCTTTAAATAAGCTGTCCAGATCTATAGCTGCTTTAAATAAGCTGTCCAGATCTATAGCTGCTTAAAATGCATGAATTTTAACCAGAACCATTTCTATTTTGTTTAGCTACAGCTACGACCTTACTCACACTCTACAGTTCAACATGGCCCCCGTCATTCAGCCAAACACCAACCCCCTCGATCAGGGGCCCGGTCCCGGCAAAGTTCAGCAATCATCTGCCGCACATCAACCGTCCAAGAGAACCTCATCAAAAAGTCAGTCGCTCTGGGAAGATGATGTTTCCAGCGCTGAGTCTGCCTCACCTGATGTCATTCCCCCGAAAGTCATTGAAAGGGAGGAGTTCTCTATTGGTGAAGTCAGTGATCTGAATATTTCCCCTGACACTGCGGTGCTGACACGGGCAGAACTGCAAGAGAAGGAGAACAAAGAAGGTTTGTGTGAGGGTTAGTTTATAGTGAGAATTGTGATTGAGCAGGGATGGGGGGGTTGTGGAGTTAGGGCACTGTATAAATGGGGGGGGGTTGTGGAGTTAGGGCACTGTATAAATGGGGGGGGAGGGGGGGGTTACTGTATAAAACACTTAAGGAACTCTTTAGGCTAGATGCTGTATGGATGGATGTTTTTAACTATTTTGTGTACCAAGAGTCTCTTTTAAAATTCTTGTCACATCTTGGACACCCATTGTGAAGCTATGGAAACCCATAGGAACTCTTCTGAACCTGTGGACACACATTGGAAGTATTGTTGCTATGACCAACCATTTGAAGTCTTGTGAAGCTATTGCCAACCATTGGAAGTCTTGAGATGCCATGGGCATTCATTGAATCTTATGTAGATTATAAGTCCTCTTGAATATTAAAACTGAGATGACAGTTACCAGAATACTCTCTAAAAACAATTTAAATAGCTCTGGATCCGAGGTTAAACATTTTTTTTGAAGGATATGATTAAAAACCTGTCATTGTCTATAGATGTCCAACCTTTCTCTAAGACAGTGCTACCTTTAGTTGAAACAATTATGATGAGTACCTGACACATGTTACCTTTAGGTGAAACAATTAGGATGAGTACCTCACACGTTACCTTTAGGTGAAACAATTATGATGAGTACCAGACACATGTTACCTTTAGATGAAACAATTATGATCTGTACCTGACACATGTTACAAGCACAATGCATAAATTCTTCGCCAATTCCTTTGCTTTCAGAGGCAGTCATGTATGGCATTAAAAATTCTCCCTGCAGGAAATACGTCTGGAACAATCACTTGTTGAAAGGGTTTGAAGGCAATGTTCATTCTGACTGGGTTCTCTACATTATCCATGGATTCATTGGTCAAAGCAGTATCCTTATCATCTTTCTTTAATTATATCTTATTGTCACTTATCTGTAATTAATTGGTATCTTCCATCAAATTCTTTGACACATTCATTAGTCATAATCGCACCAAATCGAACACAAGTCTTTTTCCATTAGCAATGTAAACTTCAATCCAGGAAACATGTCTATCACACATGTATAACTCAGCTCATTATAAGAAGGAGAAATAAATCCCAACCATTCACTACAAGTTTCTTTCCACAACTGCTGAACCAAATAGCAGTTATGCCAAAACAGTCTAGACACTACATCACAATTACAAAAATACTAGATACACCATGCCAAACATTGGTGACAGCAATGCTTGAACTTCCCATCTACTAAAGTTACTTGACAAAACATGAACTCAAGTAACGCACATTTAAGAATCCCAATTTTTGCTACACCCCTACCCCATGCTACGTCACTGCACACTTTTTATTTCACGCCCATGAGCTATATTAAATATTCTGATGTCCTAACTACTTCTAAACCGAATATTTTTACACCATACTTAAATTGAGACGATTTCATTTTACGAAAAGAAAATATTATGCACCAAACGCAGTTGCGTCATTAAAAAAAATTAAATATCATTTAGCGTAGTTATCGGGAATTTTTTTTTTGGCGCTTTAAACTCATTATTGAACCATATTTTCTTTCAAACATCTAGAATTATTTGTAAAATACTCTCAATGTTAAATGCGCTGAATAGGAAGTAGCCAGCTTGTTAGGAAGCAGCCGGAAATGTAGGCAGTCCACAGTCATACCAAAAGCATAATATAAATAAGATATAAGAGATTATCACGAGCTTTAAAGGCTGGAAAGGGTACATCAACTAAACTATAACTCTTAAATACACCAGCACAATAAAAGACACTATCCGGTGTGCAACAATAGCTAGTGAATTCCAATTGCTCAACACATATCTAAATTTAATTTTAGCAGTATCTTTCTTTATGAGTCATTATGATCATTTATAATGACCCTCTATTGATTTTAGGAAAACATTTAAAATTAATTTTTGATAGCAGCAGTATTCTGACCGACTTGACCTATCACGCAAATTTGTTTTCTTGACGCCATTAAGATGTCTGTGTTTTTGGGAAGTCTGTCTACCTGACACTCATTGGACGACGGTCTAACCGGTATGCAGGAACACGGTTTTTGAAGCGGGGCGCTAACCATGAGGTTAGTGTAAGCAATTCTCTGCACTAATGAGCTTTATCAGTTTAGTGTAAGTGTAAGCACCTCTCTGAACTAATGAGCTTTATCAGGTTAGTGTAAGTGTAAGCACCTCTCTGAACTAATGAGCTTTATCAGGTTAGTGTAAGTGTAAGCACCTCTTTGAACTAATGAGCTTTATCAGGTTAGTGTAAACACTTCTCTGCACTAATGAGCTAAATAAGGTTAGTGTAAGCAATTATCTGCAATAATGAGCTTTATCAGGTTAGTGTAAGCACTTCTCTGCAATAATGAGCTTTATCAGTTTAGTGTAACTTCTCTGCACTAATTAGCTTTATCAGTTTAGTGTAAGCACTTCTCTACACTAATGAGCTTTATCAGATTAGTGTAAGCACTTCTCTGAACTAATGAGTTTTATCAGTTTAGTGGAAGACTGCTGACAATGATAACATTTGAGTATAAGACACACTTGGCCAATTATGCCATTTGTGCGCAGGACACACTTGGCTATTGATGCTATTTGTGCAATGTGTTGAGTAAAAGAATGAATTGAGATGCTGTATCAGGGGGATACATGGTTTTTATTTACTTATTTGAGAAAATTCTTGCCCTATCTTCACATATCATTTAAAAAGAATTGGTCCAAACTAGAGGCTCTTGAACTTTTTGGAACAATGAACCCTTGCCTTGATTTCAAATCATTTCTAACATCCCAATCATGATATCAAAAAATATCTCCAGTACCCCTCAAAATACAAAATGATACTAAAATGGAAATAAACCTTATATTGTGTGTTTCCTTGAGGACACCCTGGTCCAGAGGTTCAGGAAAGCCTCTAGCTCTCATACAAGTTGTTGCAACATTTAAGATGGAGAAGAGAAACACATACCAGTGGTGATATGAATGTGTTCCGTAAGTTGTTCGAACATGAGACAATAGTCCATCAAGGATTAGACTACACTGAGGTTTGCTCTTACAGATCACGCTGAGAACATTGGGGTCATTGCACAATTGCTGTCAATAAAGCACTGCATCCCAAAGTGATTAAGATTTTCTTATAGACCAAATCATTTTATTACTCAACCAAATTTTAAATAATGTTTAGTCAAATAGAAATCTTCATACTGTTTCAGCTTCTCATAATGATAGAGTTAACTAAGTTGACAGAATACATGGCAAGTTTAGCACTTATGTAGCCAAAATTTTTAAACCAATTTGAACTCTGTTCACAGGGATATGTTGCAAATGAGATCGAGACAGAGCAAATTGTTCAAGACACATCAGTGACATTCCTGGGTCATGGGAAGGTCACATCTTACGTACAGCATCGTGGGTCCGTTCCCCTGTTCTGGTCTCAGGACATCTCTAAGATGGTAAAGCCACCGATTTCATGTAGGTATTGATCGCTAACAAAGCAATAATAAAATATTCAGTTTTCTTAGTGACTTTGTGTCCTCATTATTTTTAGCAACATCAGGTAATTGTAGTGGGGAGGGGCAGATATCTTAAATTTGTACTGGGCCAATTTATTATTAAATATTTTACAATCATTATAACATATTAACTCTTTCGATGCGGAACAACGCACACTGCGTTCTTCTGCCGCCGTCCTTAAAAGCACAGCCCAATGCGCTGTGTGTTGTTTCATTATCATTTTTGTTTCTTTGCTATTTCTCGGTTAAACTTTTTAAGAGCAATTAAGAAATAAAATTTTTACATTGAAGAGTGGTACTTAATTGTTTGTACACGAAACCAAGGTTTTTTTGTTGTCATTTGAAGCATTATTTTGACGATTTACTTTGCTTTTTTTTTCCTACTGTTGCTATGGCTACTCTAGGCCCTAGTAGGTAAGTTTCCTAGACAATTAACAGTTAAAAAAGCTTTGGAATTGTTTTATACTATTTCTTTTGATAATGAAGATGATTTATATTTAGATGCATCGCATGATTACAATAGTAGTAGTTTTAGAGGAATTGAGTTAAAGAAGTCAAGATGAGGTATGCGTACATCATTGGGTTTGAGGAAAAATGGTTTATCATAAAATGTTTTCACATTTTATGGTTCTTTTCTGTAACTTATTTTATTTAAAGTGAATAAATAAGTGTACAAACAAATAGTCCTTTCAATTACCTTGCATTTGATACCAAGTTTAGTCTTGTATACCAAATGATAATATTGAAAATATTTTTTAAAAAACCTCTCACTTTTTTTCTGCTCTTCGAAAAAAATTTACATTTTTTCGATAAAAAAATTCCGCAGCGAAAGAGTTGGTCAATTATAAAAGTCTTTTCCAAATCTGCTTTCCAAAATGTATGGTGCACTACGACTTTGTGGTAAAAAAAAAAAAATGGAATATTTATTTAACCACAAATTAAGAGAATATTTTCTCATCAAAAGTGAATAATTGCTGGACAAATATAAATGAATGTGAAATGAAATAAATCTGAAACGAAATAAATTTGATATAAAATAAATCTGAAATGAAATAAAGGTGATATAAAATAAATATGAAATGAAATAAATGTGTTATGAAATAAATGTGATAAGAAATAAATGTGAAATGAAATAAATTTGATAAGAAATAAATGTGAAATGAATGCAAAATGAAATGATAAATGTGATATGAAATAAAAAATTTCATTCTGGAGGTAGAATCAAGAGATTAAAGTTTGGATCATTTTGAAAGCTAGGTTCTTAGACCTGATTAAATGTTTACTTTTTGTACAGTCTTTTATGTTGGCATGCACAGCCACACCTCTCTCTGTCATATGTCAGTCTCCTGTACAGCCAAACCTCACATATGTGCATCATATTTCAGTGGACCAAAGAGATCCTTACTCAAGTGCTGCAGGAATGCATTTCAACCAATTGCTGTGCAGATATGGATCTCCAATTATTGTCCTGAATCTTGTCAAGGTAACTTTAATGCAGGGTAGATGTAATGTATTTGAAACAGATGATGTTATCATAATCTCTAGATCTTTAGTACAGTGAGACAACTTTCAATGATTTTTTTAACTGCTATGACTGATTTAAGTATATTTCTTGTGCTGAAAATGAGATCTTTGATCTATATTTACTTAGGTGATCCAGATGCTCATAACTATCTCAATAATATTTTTTGTTGATATGTTTGATCAGATATCTGAACTAGGTCAATAATACTACTTGTTGACAAGTTTGATGAGACAGCTTAACTAGGTCAATAATACTACTTGTTGACAAGTTTGATGAGACAGTTTAACTAGGTCAATAATACTATTTGTTGACAGTTTGATGAGACAGCTTAACTAGGTCAATAATACTACTTGTTGACAAGTTTGATGAGACAGCTTAACTAGGTCAATAATACTACTTGTTGACAAGTTTGATGAGACAGTTTAACTAGGTCAATAATACTACTTGTTGACAGTTTGATGAGACAGCTTAACTAGGTCAATAATACTACTTGTTGACAAGTTTGATGAGACAGCTTAACTAGGTCAATAATACTACTTGTTGTTGACAAGTTTGATCAGATAACTAGGTCAATAATATTTTTTGTTGTTCGTGTTTGATCAGACAAGAGAGAACAAGAGACATGAAAGTATTCTAAGTGAAGACTTCATCAAGGCCATTGATTACCTGAACCAATTCCTGCCAGCAGAACACGCCATACAGTACATTGGTTTTGATATGGCAAGAGTTAATAAAAGGTAGGGACCATTGCATTCTTCACTGCCAGCTGAATGTGCCAACAGACAGGGTTCACTGCCAGCTGAATGTGCCAACAGACAGGGTTCACTGCCAGCTGAATGTGCCAACAGACAGGGTCTACTAACTAACCTCTACAGCTGGCAAATAGAAATTGTTTAAAAGACAAAAAGTTTATTTGAACCCACAGAAATCATTAAATGTGTTTCAAAGTTTAAAGCACTGAATTAAAACTAAACTAAACTATCAACAAATTGTACTGCATCATTTTATAGCTTCTTTTCAAAACTCATCTCACCATTGCATCTGCCTCACCATAGTTTTGCTCTCACCCTAGTATCAGTTTCACTGTGATATCAGTCTCACCATAGTATTGCTTTCATCATAGTATCAGTCTCACCATAATATTGGTCTCACTATAGTATCAGTCTCACCATAGTAAAGTTTCACCTTAGTATCAGTCTCACCACATTATTGATCTCACCATAGTATAGTTTCACCATTGTTTAGTTTGACCATAGTATCATTGACTTAAAATGATTTTAACAACAGTACATTGAATGTCATTGATTTGCCATGATTTTAACAACAGTACTTTGAGTGTTATTGACTCACTATGATTTTAACAACAGTAGGTTGAGTGTTATTGACTCACTATGATTTTAACAACAGTAGGTGGAGTGTTATTGACTCACTATGATTTTAACAACAGTAGGTTGAGTGTTATTGACTCACTATGATTTTAACAACAGTACGTTGAGTGTTATTGACTCACTATGATTTTAACAACAGTACGTTGAGTGTTATTGACTCACTATGATTTTAACAACAGTACGTTGAGTGTTATTGACTCACTATGATTTTAACAACAGTAGGTTGAGTGTTATTGACTCACTATGATTTTAACCATAGTAGGTTGAGTGTTATTGACTCACTATGATTTTAACAACAGTAGGTTGAGTGTTATTGACTCACTATGATTTTAACAACGGTACGTTGAGTGTTATTGACTCACTATGATTTTAACAACGGTAGGTTGAGTGTTATTGACTCACTATGATTTTAACAACGGTACGTTGAGTGTTATTGACTCACTATGATTTTAACAACAGTAGGTTGAGTGTTATTGACTCACTATGATTTTAACAACGGTACATTGAGTGTTATTGACTCACTATGATTTTAACAACGGTAGGTTGAGTGTTATTGACTCACTATGATTTTAACAATGGTACGTTGAGTGTTATTGACTCACTATGATTTTAACAACGGTACGTCGTTGAGTGTCATTGACTCACTATGATTTCTTGCTCTCACAGGAAAGATGCTGACGTAATGCTGAGATTGAATCGCATCGCTCGCTACTGTATCAAACAAACTGGACTTTTTCTGAGTGTCCAGCCATCACAAGCTCAGTATTTACTTAAAGACCCTGAGTAAGTGAAATTTGCCAGAGGAGGTGTGAATCTTTAAATTAATGTTGTTGATTTTAATCACATATAGTCAGTATTAGAGATAGCATTTATTATTGTACATATCTGTAAGCAAACCTCATGGAGACACCATTTTGGCATGCTGGGTCAAGATACGATTATACCACCATAAGTTAACTGACCATGCACTATTGTGATCAAAATAATCTTCTGGTCATACACAAACAGGATGTGTCACCTTTGGGGTCACTTCCCTGACCATCTGTGCTACTCAGGGGGGAAAAATTTTTGCTATATGAGAAGTATTCACTCTAATGAATCAATTGTTATATCTAAAATTACCTCAAGAATATGGTTCTACTCTACTGGTTGATTGACTGTAGCTGCTGCATGTAGTGAAGATGGAAACTGTGGAAATATCCAATGAAATAGGGGAATAGTTATTTTGCCAATAAAAAACATTGACTAGCTCCTGAAAGAATTGCTTCTAGTTAGCGAACTAAACATTTATCAAGGTAGATAACGCACTAGTTCGTATCAACAGACTGCAGAGTTTGAAAGGGGTGTGGGGACCAAGAGGCTGTCGGCAGACCGGTGCTGTACGGACAAACTGTGTGGACTGCTTGGACAGGACCAACACTGCCCAGTTTGCCATGGGTCGCAGTGCCCTGGCTTATCAGGTACACAGTAGTATTCTACATACACCATTAAACAAAAGAAACTAATCTTTATATACATTTTTTAACGTTTGGAAAAATCATATTTTCCACAAATAATCATAGGTGTTTCAAACATGATAATACAGGTGCCAGAATGATCAATACATTGATCGTGGGCCCTCAAAATATAGAAGAGGAAGATTTCCCATTAATATGGTTACGGTATTGCAAAACTGATAATATTTCCCATTGATATGGTTAGGTATTGGAAAAATGATAATATCTCCCACTAATAATGATTAGATAATACTAGTATTATGCATTAGAAAATAATTGTTTGGTTTAAATCTAGCTCCTTGAATGCATAATTTCTTTGACTTGTTGACTGATCTGTTGGCAGCTGTATGCATTGGGTGTATTGGAGAGTCCACACTTGGACTTTGACACAGATTGTATCAAGTAAGTTGTTACCCAATTCTGTCCTGGAATACTGACACAGGTTGTATCAAGTAAGTTGTTAACTAATTCTGTCCTGGAGTACAAATTAATTGAACACCTGTATTTAATATCTGAGGGCAGCAGCTTGTCTATTGAGTGTTTCAATATTAGTGTGTATGAAAATGTGTACAAAACAAATGTGTACTAAACAAATGTTAAACCGTACTAAAAGAATGTGTACTAAATCAATTTGTGCCATACTAATTTACATAAAATTTTTTAATGGGATTTTTTAAAAAAATTAAATGTATTAGTTGGAGATTTGTGGAATGGAAATATTTTCATTACAAAAATATTTGTTAAGGGGTAATATGTAAACTGTTTAAAAAAGATTTAATTTTTGTTTCCATAACCAAGTCTTTAGCAGCCCAGCCAAAAGTAAACAGATTTTGCTGTTAGAAATGAGTGTGATCCATTGTCACTAATTTAAATCAGTTTAACTGTCAGGCTAGTATACTGTACAGCTAACTGTCAGGCTAGTGTACTGTATAGCTTTAGTTTTATTTTTACTCAATTCACCAATAATTGAACTACTATGTCATGTTTTTTTAAGTCCATTAAAAAATTATCAGTGCTACACACTTGCGATTGCACAAATTTCCACTAGAAAATATTTCTTTCAAAATAGTTTCATACAAATTTCTGGTAACCAAAACATCAGTTTTGTCAAAGTAATTGAACATTTAATATCTGAGGCTAGAACTTTGATCAAAGTAATTGAATATTTAATATCTGAGGCTAGAAATTTTGTCAAATGATTCAATTCATGACTGCAGGATGCTGGAAGAGCTGTATGAAGATCACGGGGACACACTTGCCTTACAATATGGTGGCAGTCAACTCGTGCATCGCATTAAAGGTTACAGGAAACTTGCCAGGTGGACATCACACAGCAGAGATATCATGCAGACCTTGTCCAGATATTACAGAAACAATTTTTCAGGTCAATTAAGTTTCTGCTTCCGGGCTTTTTGAAGTGGCTTCCAATAGAAATAAATAGAATTAGTTAAATTTGGTGAAATTAGTAGAAATAGATTAATTTGGTTTTCATTTGATTCATCAAAAGTTGCACTACTTTCTCATTTAACATATTGGTTAGAACTGGAAAATATCCTTGCACTCTCTTTATGGCAAGCTTGTCTTACTGTCATTATTAGTGTGTTGTCCATAGAATTGTGTATACTTATTGTGCTGCCTATAGAATTTTGCATTATCAGTGTGCTGTCTATAAAATTGTGCATTATTAGTGTGCTGTCTATAGAAGTGTTCATTATTAGTGTGCTGTCTATAGAATTTTGCATTATTAGTGTGCTGTCTATAGAAGTGTTCATTATTAGTGTGCTGTCTATAGAATTTTGCATTATTAGTGTGCTGTCTATGAATTTTGCATTATTAGTGTGCTGTCTATGAATTTTGCATTATTATTGTGCTGTCTATAGCAGTGTGCATTATTAGTGTGTGTCCAATTTTTAGTATGAGAAAATCATTAGCATTTGTCCATTAAGATGAGTCTATTATGAGTGTGCCCATCCATCTCTTCCTCACAGATGTGGAAAAGCAGCAAGCCTTTAACTTATTTCTTGGGGTCTTCCTTCCCTGTGAGGGCCAGCCTAACTTGTGGGACCTGCTCACTGATTATTACCTACACAACAAACCGTCAATGGGAATACCCATTATTCGCAATCAGTAAGGTCACAGTTGATTCTGCTCTAGTTTGATTTCACTATTAGGCCATTTTACACTATGTGACCATACCACAACTACGTGGCCACGCCACAACTATGTGGCCATACCACAGTTATGTGGCCATACCACAACTATGTGGCCATACCATGGCACAACTATGTAGTCAACCAAACTGTGTGGGGCCATGCCACATGTGGAGGCCAAAAAATGAAAAGTTTGATCACTACCTTAAGATTAATTAAAGTTTTGTAGCTCAATTAATATTTTAAATAGTGGCAATTTTTTTTTAATTTTGACCTTTGACCTTTCAGTTACTGCCAATGGTGGGATAAGGATGTATGGACCAGTCTGCCCCTCCCACAAGAAGAAGGTAATCCATCATTGGGATCAATAGAAGTAAGAGAAGTTTGCTGGTCCATTTTTCCAAGAGTTCAAATGTGAGTTTCTGTCCTTTTCAGTGTCCAAACCAAAAATGACCCAGGCTGCCGTGATGATGGCCCCACAGACGGACGAACATGTCAACTCTTTCTATGAACATTATCGCCCTGCGGAGATAACGTCATTTGATGACATCTACCAAATTTACCTTTCACAGACTTGCTGGTGAGCTCTTTTCCAATTCATTTGCTCAAGTGATGTATGCTGTTTGAATCACTCTACTCCATTAGATCTGTAGTGCAAAAGAAGGCTGTGCTTTATAACATTATGGCAAGAAAACAATAAGTCAGCTTTAAAGCCTGTGCACAATAGACTAAAGTTCAAATCCTGATCAGATACTATAGGCTTTAACTTTTAACTCATTCCCGACGGATGCGACTAAATGCGTCTTTCTGGGGTTTCGTCGGATACGTCCAAATGCGTCTGGTCACACCCTCCTACTTTTCTTTTCTCCCTAGTTATAAAATGACGCATCCCCGAGATTTCTAATGATAATCTCGCGGTAGCGAGAATCCACGAGCATTCAATAAAAAAAAACTGAAGTTTTATCTCGTTTCGTTCATTTTCAAAGAGTTTTTGAACTAGTCGGATCTTAGTGAAATTTTTATTGACTTATTTTGTGAAATTTTGAAAATGGCCTTCCAGTTCCTTCAATCCCTTATCGATGGAAATGAACAATTGTTAGATGAGGGTTCTGATATTGAAGTGAATGAACTGAGTTCAGAATCTAGTGATTCTTCTGATGATGATTCTGTACTTGATAGTCCTACTTCGATGACCAATGCTAACGTTAATACTACTGGCGTGGAATGGTCCGACGTACTGTCCAATGTGACAGAAAATATGGGCGTATTTTCGGAATATGTAGGGAGTCTACGTAATATTCCAATTGACAAGCCACCTATAGACTTTTTTAAGCTATTTGTGACAGACAATTGTATTGATGATTTTGTTTTACAAACAAATTTGTATGCAAAGCAGCAATTGGCCAAGCAGTCTGGCCCTAGGGCATTTGCCATAACATGGACTCCAGTCAATGCAGATGACATTTACAAATACATATATATAAATGTCATGTTTGGTTTACATCAAGTCCTTGATACAAGACTATACTGGTCTTCTGACAGTATGTGGAGGGTCCCTGCAGTGGCTGACATCATGAGCAGAGATCGTTACCAGATGATTCATCGGTTTTTTCATGTCAATGACAGCTCTCTTCAACCCACCAAGGACTGTCAACATTACGATCCCCTTTACAAGGTGAGGCCCTTTCTCGACCACATAAGACATCAATGCTTGTCACTATACAAGCCTCAGAGACAACTAAGTGTCGATGAAGCCATGGTCGGGTTTAGGGGAAGACTCGGATTTAAGCAATACATGAAAGATAAGCCTACTCCGTGGGGCTTGAAAATTTGGTGCTGTGCCGAAGCCAAGACAGGGTACTTTTAAACTTTAAAGTCTACACTGGTAAAAGCGAGGCGTGCTCTACCAATGGATTGGGCTATGATGTCGTCATGGCTATGGCCGAGCCCTTTTTGGACAAAAGGCATGAGCTTTTTTTTGATAATTTTTTTCTTTCGCCCAAGCTGGCAGAAGACCTGCTTGCCCGTGACACCTATTGCTGTGCCACCATTAGGCCCAACCGCAAAGGTTGGCCTCTTAGAAAATCAAAACAAAAAAAAGGTGACTACATTATGCAACAAAAAGGTTTACTTGTTGCCTGGCAATGGACAGACAAGCGCCAGGTGAATATGATATCAACAAATTCAAATCCACAGATGACAATTGTTGAGAGGAGATCCAAAGATGGGATACTTGACATTGAAATCCCCTGCAGTCTGGACTCCTACAATTCTTATATCTTTGGGGTGGATTTTGGTGACCAGCACCGTTCATATTATCCGGTGGGAAGACCAAGCCATAAATGGTGGCGATACCTCTTCTGGTATTTAATCCAGATGTCGATAGTAAATGGATATCTACTCATGAAAAGTGTGAACCCTACTTCCTCTCTTAGCAAGTCCCACCTAAAATTTCGTGCTAAGCTGGCTCAACAGTTGCTGAATGTAAAATCAAGAGCCACTGCATCTAGCTCTTCTTGCCTGAGCAGGCCAAGTATTGCTGGCATTACAAGACCTTTCAGCCCCAAGCATAGGCTGTCTACGATGCCAGGGAGAAAGCGCAGATGTTACCAGTGTGCCGCGGAAGGAGCAAAAATGCCCAGCGGCAGAACAAAGGAAGCCACCAAAAGCTGTTATTTATGCCAAGTGCATTTGCATGCTGGACAGTGCTATAGCACTTATCACGAGAACATAAAATAAACTTGTGTTAAAGTTAAATTAAATTTCAGAAAAAAGAGCTAAAAATGACATATGTTGCATTTTTGTTTATTTTGTGTCGTTATTTGGTCTTGTTGTACCAGTAATGTTAAACTTTTCTGAAAGCTTATCCATTTCTGAATGCAATGGTATTTATTTTTTTTTAAACTGATTAATATTTAGGTACCGAAAACAATTTTTCAAAATATACATATGGTATGAAAATCAGAGTAGCTTCCCTTGTCCAGGAAAATGAATATAAACAGGAAATGAGTGCTCAGGGGGGAATGAGTTAATATCAGCATAGCACATAGAGTAAAAAAAACACATCTATCCACAAGACTCTCCCCGCCCAGTACAATGAAAAATTAAGTTTATAATTATGTTTAAGTCAATAACTTTATCAAGCCAGACCTAACTGGTTTTACTTCATTTATTTAAATACGGTAATCTATAATACTGCAACTAGCAGTTTCACAATAAGCAGAGCAATTACGTCTTATGATATCTCAAGTAATCTATAATACTGCAACTAGCAGTTTCACAATAAGCAGAGCAGTTACGTCTTATGATATCTCAAGTAATCTATAATACTGCAACTAGCAGTTTCACAATAAGCAGAGCAATTATGTCTTATGATATCTAAATAAATTGCTGTCAGTATCATCAGCCGAGTCCATTTTTAACAAAAATTTTTGTTTTAACTGTAAATAAACCTCAAAATTTGACAAAAATCAAACTTTAAAGAAGCTAATGTCATTTTAAAGTCATCAGCTATCCAAGTATGAATGATGGGTCATCATCTATCCAAGTATGAATGAAGGGTCATCATATATCCAAGTATGAATGAAGGGTCATCATATTTCAAAGTATGAATGAAGGGTCATCATATATCCAAGTGTCAATGAAGGGTCATCATATATCCAAGTATGAATGAAGGGTCATCATATATCCAAGTATGAATGAAGGGTCATCATCTATCCAAGTATGAATGAAGGGTCATCATCTATCCAAGTATGAATGAAGGGTCATCATATATCCAAGTATGAATGAAGGGTCATCATATATCCAAGTATGAATGAAGGGTCATCATATATCCAAGTATGAATGAAGGGTTATCATATATCCAAGTATGAATGAAGAGTCATCATATATCCAAGTATGAATGAAGGGTCATCATATATCCAAGTGTCAATGAAGGGTCATCATATATCGAAGTGTCAATGAAGGGTCATCATATATCCAAGTATGAATGAAGGGTCATCATATATCCAAGTATGAATGAAGGGTCATCATATATCCAAGTATGAATGAAGGGTCATCATATATCCAAGTATGAATGAAGGGTCATCATATATCCAAGTATGAATGAAGGGTCATCATATATCCAAGTGTCAATGAAGGTCATCATATATCGAAGTGTCAATGAAGGGTCATCATATATCCAAGTATGAATGAAGGGTCATCATATATCCAAGTATGAATGAAGGGTCATCATCTATCCAAGTGTCAATGAAGGGTCATCATCTATCCAAGTGTCAATGAAGGGTCATCATATATCCAAGTATGAATGAAGGGTCATCATCTATCCAAGTATGAATGAAGGGTCATCATCTATCCAAGTGTCAATGAAGGGTCATCATATATCCAAGTATGAATGAAGGGTCATCATATATCCAAGTATGAATGAAGGGTCATCATATATCCAAGTGTCAATGAAGGAAACCAGCCTGAATGTGCGTGTAACAAAAGGGAGATTATTCATGAGTTTTTCTTGTCGCTACAATATGTGGCGCCATTAAGATACGTGTCACTATAGAGGTTAAAATCATTTGCTGTCACTTGGCATCATGTGGATATAAAGTGTTAAAATCAGTCCTTGTTTGGCGTCATGTGGATGAAAAATGTTACGTGAATAAAAAGTCTATAAAATGGAATAAATCACAAAAGTGTTCATGTTGTCCAGTGAACCAAACTGATGGTCCCGCTGGTCCTGCTATAGTCTAATATTTCCCTATGACTCCATGAATTAGATCCATACTGTAATATGTTGGTCATCTTATGACACTATCAATGACAGCATGTTCTTCTGTGAATTTCTTGGTGTTTTCCATTCTGAAATATAGACATTTGAAATTGACATATGAAATCTTGTCCTTTGAAATGACATTGCATTTTTATTGCGTTGCTCTCTTCTCTTTTGTATCAATTTTGAATGGTATTGACTCTCCTCAGGAAACACTTGCCAAAGAATACCACAGACTTCAGTCCATTTTGTGTACGCCACTCAACTGATACCTCAGACAGGTAATAGAAGACCTTCAGGTTATTGGTAGAATAAAGAATTGATTTTGAAGCACAAAATTTTATTTTAATGGAACTTCAGTTAAAAACCCAAACCCAAATTAGTTTCTCTCTTTCTAACAATCATAGGAATATCTAATTCACCAGTTCTGGGCATATCTAATGCACCGGTTCTGGGCATATCTAATGCACCGGTTCTGGGCATATCTAATGCACCGGTTCTGGGCATATCTAATGCACCGGTTCTGGGCATATCTAATGCACCGGTTCTGGGCATATCTAATGCAGCGGTTCTGGGCAATATTTAGTTTTTGAAAAGAAATTTGAGTTTATTCACTCCCTTAATTCAAAATAAAATCATTTTTGAGATAGTTTTTAAAAAAATGTGGGCAAAATACAATATATTTTTAAGAAACTTTTTGACATGAACCCAAAATTTGTGTGTGAAATTCAATATATCATATTTAAATATTATAAGTAATATACTATATACTATTTTAGCAATATAAGTAACTTCAATGCTGGTAGGTTGTTGGTGGTCAGTAGTAACATTTTGTGTCTCATTGAACGCAGGGAATCCAATCCAAATATCTCGGGTAAAGACTCAACATCATCAACAACTTCATTTGGATCTGAGGGTAGCTCGGATACCACGGATGACTCTGATGTGGAGGGAGGGGTACAGCTGTCTGAATCATCCAGCGATCACAGCTCTGGAGATGAGGATAATTATATTTCCTTCAAGGTAATTTGGTGGCTATTATAGATGTGACTAATCACCTGAGGTAGAGCAGTCGTGACTGACCAGCTGAAGTAGCACAGATGTGACTGATCCAGCTGAAGTAGCACAGATGTGACTGGTCAGCTGAGGTAGGACAGGTGTTACTGATCAGCTGAGGTAGGACAGGTGTTACTGATCAGCTGAGGTAGGACAGGTGTTACCGATCAGCTGAGGTAGGACAGGTGTTACTGATCAGCTGAGGTAGGGCAGGTGTTACTGATCAGCTGAGGTAGGACAGGTGTGACTGATCAGCTGAGTTAGCACAGATGTGACTGATCAATTGAGGTAGCACAGATGTGACAATCAGCTGAGGTAGCAGTCAGTCAGTTAGTTTAATGTGACCTTTAAAGTTCTTTAATACAACAAAAGAGTTTTAAGTAGTGTTGTGACATTGACCCAATAATGTTAGAACTTTTAAGTAGTGCTGTGACATTGACCCAATAATGATAGAACCATTATATAGTGCTGTGACATTGACCCAGTAATGTTAGAACTGTTAAGTAGTGCTGTGACATTGACCCAATAATGTTGGAACTGTTTTGTAATGCTGTGACATTGACCCAATAATGTTAGAACTGTTTTGTAATGCTGTGACATTGACCCAATAATGTTAGAACTGTTTTGTAGTGCTGTGAAATTTTCCCAATAGTGATAGAACTTTTGTGTGGTGCTGCGACATTTGCCGACTAATACAAACGTTTAATTTCTACGCAGGAATTGTTTCCATCTATGAAAACAGTTTATGACACTGATATCACAGAGCCCAGTTTGCGGGACCAGAAGATTTATGAGAGGTCAGTCTGTCCACTGAAACGCTTTGTTTTGGTTTTGATTGATGCTTGTCAATTTCTTAAAGGATTCAATTCTTTTCAAAGTTAAAATTTTTCAAAAACAGCAGAAAAACTGGAAAATATCCTAAACTGGGCTTGTAAAGGCAACTATTTCTATGCAAATATAACTTTTATGTTAATAAAATACTGGGTTTAAAATATGTCAAAAGTTTTTCTTCTTTGAATGTCATTTGTTTTTAAATGGATTATGGATTCCCAAACTAATCCATGTTTTTTTGTCAAGGGTTTTTTTTCTTGTTTTTTTTTTGCTATTGCCAATAAACTTTGATGGACCTGCTTCTTTTTGTACAACCTAGGATTCTAGTAGGATATTATTTTATATAAACTCTTAAAATATAATTTGAGAACCATTTTAACCTTAACTGAGATTGGAATACTTGAGCTGTTTCTTCTTCTTAATTAAATTAAACTTAAAGGATCTAGTTTTATAAAGCACTCATTAATTGTCAACAGATATGTAGACATTGGAACTGGTCAGAGCAATGAACGACAGCCTGATTCAGAACCAAATGATCTCCTGAGTGTGGACAGAAAGGGTGGACATACTTCACCGGGCAGTCGTAGAGGGAGCAAGGACTCTGCTATGGAAATAAACAAACAAGTTTTTCCAGGCGTGGATATGTTAGTTCTACAATTTTCTTTTTCCAATTATGTCAAGTAAATATTTGTATTAACTAGTTGAGAATGTCTGAAAAGCTTGGCACCTTGTGAAAATGTGTGCAGGAAAAGCTGCTCTTAAGTACAGGATACGTGGGATAAATCTTATGGCTTTGATGATTTAATGTGATCCTTATATTATGGTAAGAGACATACTTTCATTGCTCTCTCCACTTAGCGTGTGGGGAGGAGTGGGAGAGTTACATTTGCCCCTTCAGTGGTTTTAAAAGTTCAATAGCGGTTTGTTTAAAGCAGAGTAGAGTATTTGTAGAAGTTAAATGGAGTCTTGATTCATTCTAACTTATATTTAAGGAACTCCATTTTATTTATTAATTATGTTAATCACGACTTTTTTCATGTTCAAAAACAATTTTTTGTTCACTTCACAATTTTGCTAATTGGCGTTAAAAAATGTTAATTTATCAACTCTTCTTTTATTCTCAGATTCCCCATTTCAGCTTTTAAGTTAGACAGCACATTTTATGTCGAGCCACCACCTGTCAGTAAGCAGGCCAAAGATTTGTACACAGCATATGTCCAGCGTGGGCGGTTGGGTGCCGGGCCTGTCTCTGATGCAGACCGCCATGCCTACATCAAATATGTCAACAGGAAATATCTCTGACATCTCATCACATATGTACATTTGTTGTTTTAGAACTATGAATATCTGTGACATCTCATCATATCTGTAAATTTTTTGTTTTAATACTGTTAATATCTGTGATCAATTATGTCATAAAAATAAACTATGGAAATACTTTGCAATGTTTCAATTGATTTAACATTAACAGAGATAGAAATAGCAAAAGTGACTCTTTAATCATCATCTGAATACATTAGGACATGGTTTATTTAATTAAAAGCTTTCAGTTCTATTTAGGACACAGTCTCTTTAGTTGACAGTTTCCAGGTTTTTTTGGGACAGGCTTTCTTTAGTTGATAACTTCCAGGTCTGTTGCAGTTGCAGATTATTTTAATTTAGAATATGTTAGATGTTTGGCTATTACCAGAAAATTGAGTCAGCTTGAACTATTATGGTGAGACCAAAAAACAGTTATGTGCTCAAACTCAAAGTCAATTCTTTGTCGCAACACAAATCAACAGTCATGTGCTCAAAGTCAATTCTTTTTCCCAACACAAATCAACAGTCGTGCTCAAAGTCAAAGTCAATTCTTTGTCCCAACACAAATCAACAGTCAAGTACTCAAAGTCAATTCTTTGTCCCAACACAAATCTGATGCTGTTTTCCAGTGACTTGTTTCTTTTTTAAATTCAAAGTTTCCATCCCTCCTGAAATAGTTGCTTGACTTGTCTAGCCATCACATTCCATCCCTCCTGAAATAGTTGCTTGACTTGACTAGCCATCACATTCCATCCCTCCTGAAATAGTTGCTTGACTTGTCTAGCCATCACATTCCATCCCTCCTGAAATAGTTGCTTGACTTGACTAGCCATCACATTCCATCCCTCCTGAAATAGTTGCTTGACTTGACTAGCCATCACATTCCATCCCTCCTGAAATAGTTGCTTGACTTGTCTAGCCATCACATTCCATCCCTCCTGAAATAGTTGCTTGACTTGACTAGCCATCACATTCCATCCCGCCTGAAATAGTTACTTGACTTGACTAGCCATCACATTCCATCCCGCCTGAAATAGTTGCTTGACTTGACTAGCCATCACATTCCATCCCGCCTGAAATAGTTGCTTGACTTGACTAGCCATCACATTCCATCCCGCCTGAAATAGTTACTTGACTTGACTAGCCATCACATTCCATCCCGCCTGAAATAGTTGCTTGACTTGTCTAGCCATCACATTCCATCCCGCCTGAAATAGTTACTTGACTTGTCTAGCCATCACATTCCATCCCTCCTGAAATAGTTGCTTGACTTGTCTAGCCATCACATTCCATCCCGCCTGAAATAGTTGCTTGACTTGACTAGCCATCACATTCCATCCCGCCTGAAATAGTTACTTGACTTGACTAGCCATCACATTCCATCCCGCCTGAAATAGTTACTTGACTTGTCCAGCCATCACATTCCATCCCGCCTGAAATAGTTACTTGACTTGACTAGCCATCACATTCCATCCCTCCTGAAATAGTTGCTTGACTTGACTAGCCATCACATTCCATCCCGCCTGAAATAGTTACTTGACTTGTCTAGCCATCACATTCCATCCCGCCTGAAATAGTTGCTTGACTTGTCCAGCCATCACATTCCATCCCGCCTGAAATGGTTGCTTGTCTTGACTAGCCATCACATTCCATCCCGCCTGAAATAGTTACTTGACTTGACTAGCCATCACATTCCATCCCTCCTGAAATAGTTACTTGACTTGTCTAGCCATCACATTCCATCCCTCCTGAAATAGTTACTTGACTTGTCTAGCCATCACATTCCATCCCTCCTGAAATAGTTACTTGACTTGTCTAGCCATCACATTCCATCCCGCCTGAAATAGTTACTTGACTTGTCTAGCCATCACATTCCATCCCTCCTGAAATAGTTACTTGACTTGTCCAGCCATCACATTCCATCCCTCCTGAAATAGTTACTTGACTTGTCTAGCCATCACATTCCATCCCGCCTGAAATAGTTACTTGACTTGTCTAGCCATCACATTCCATCCCTCCTGAAATAGTTACTTGACTTGTCTAGCCATCACATTCCATCCCTCCTGAAATAGTTGCTTGACTTGTCTAGCCATCACATTCCATCCCTCCTGAAATAGTTGCTTGACTTGTCTAGCCATCACATTCCATCCCTCCTGAAATAGTTGCTTGACTTGTCTAGCCATCACATTCCATCCCTCCTGAAATAGTTGCTTGACTTGTCTAGCCATCACATTCCATCCCTCCTGAAATAGTTGCTTGACTTGTCTAGCCATCACATTCCATCCCTCCTGAAATAGTTGCTTGACTTGTCTAGCCATCACATTCCATCCCTCCTGAAATAGTTGCTTGACTTGTCTAGCCATCACATTCCATCCCTCCTGAAATAGTTGCTTGACTTGTCTAGCCATCACATTCCATCCCTCCTGAAATAGTTGCTTGACTTGTCTAGCCATCACATTCCATCCCTCCTGAAATAGTTGCTTGACTTGTCTAGCCATCACATTCCATCCCTCCTGAAATAGTTGCTTGACTTGTCTAGCCATCACATTCCATCCCTCCTGAAATAGTTGCTTGACTTGTCTAGCCATCACATTCCATCCCTCCTGAAATAGTTGCTTGACTTGTCTAGCCATCACATTCCATCCCTCCTGAAATAGTTGCTTGACTTGTCTAGCCATCACATTCCATCCCTCCTGAAATAGTTGCTTGACTTGTCTAGCCATCACATTCCATCCCTCCTGAAATAGTTGCTTGACTTGTCTAGCCATCACATTCCATCCCTCCTGAAATAGTTGCTTGACTTGTCTAGCCATCACATTCCATCCCTCCTGAAATAGTTGCTTGACTTGTCTAGCCATCACATTCCATCCCTCCTGAAATAGTTGCTTGACTTGTCTAGCCATCACATTCCATCCCTCCTGAAATAGTTGCTTGACTTGACTAGCCATCACATTCCATCCCTCCTGAAATAGTTGCTTGACTTGACTAGCCATCACATTCCATCCCTCCTGAAATAGTTGCTTGACTTGACTAGCCATCACATTCCATCCCTCCTGAAATAGTTGCTTGACTTGACTAGCCATCACATTCCATCCCTCCTGAAATAGTTGCTTGACTTGACTAGCCATCACATTCCATCCCTCCTGAAATAGTTGCTTGACTTGACTAGCCATCACATTCCATCCCTCCTGAAATAGTTGCTTGACTTGACTAGCCATCACATTCCATCCCTCCTGAAATAGTTGCTTGACTTGACTAGCCATCGCATTCCATCCCGCCTGAAATAGTTGCTTGACTTGACTAGCCATCACATTCCATCCCGCCTGAAATAGTTGCTTGACTTGTCTAGCCATCACATTCCATCCCTCCTGAAATAGTTGCTTGACTTGTCTAGCCATCACATTCCATCCCTCCTGAAATAGTTGCTTGACTTGTCTAGCCATCACATTCCATCCCTCCTGAAATAGTTGCTTGACTTGACTAGCCATCACATTCCATCCCTCCTGAAATAGTTGCTTGACTTGTCTAGCCATCACATTCCATCCCTCCTGAAATAGTTACTTGACTTGTCTAGCCATCACATTCCATCCCTCCTGAAATAGTTGCTTGACTTGTCTAGCCATCACATTTCATCCCGCCTGAAATAGTTACTTGACTTGTCCAGCCATCACATTCCATCCCGCCTGAAATAGTTACTTGACTTGTCTAGCCATCACATTCCATCCCTCCTGAAATAGTTGCTTGACTTGACTAGCCATCACATTCCATCCCTCCTGAAATAGTTGCTTGACTTGACTAGCCATCACATTCCATCCCGCCTGAAATAGTTGCTTGACTTGACTAGCCATCACATTCCATCCCTCCTGAAATAGTTACTTGACTTGACTAGCCATCACATTCCATCCCTCCTGAAATAGTTGCTTGACTTGACTAGCCATCACATTCCATCCCTCCTGAAATAGTTGCTTGACTTGTCTAGCCATCACATTCCATCCCGCCTGAAATAGTTACTTGACTTGACTAGCCATCACATTCCATCCCTCCTGAAATAGTTGCTTGACTTGACTAGCCATCACATTCCATCCCTCCTGAAATAGTTACTTGACTTGACTAGCCATCACATTCCATCCCTCCTGAAATAGTTGCTTGACTTGACTAGCCATCACATTCCATCCCTCCTGAAATAGTTGCTTGACTTGTCTAGCCATCACATTCCATCCCGCCTGAAATAGTTGCTTGACTTGTCTAGCCATCACATTCCATCCCTCCTGAAATAGTTACTTGACTTGTCTAGCCATCACATTCCATCCCTCCTGAAATAGTTACTTGACTTGACTAGCCATCACATTCCATCCCTCCTGAAATAGTTGCTTGACTTGACTAGCCATCACATTCCATCCCTCCTGAAATAGTTGCTTGACTTGACTAGCCATCACATTCCATCCCTCCTGAAATAGTTGCTTGACTTGACTAGCCATCGCATTCCATCCCTCCTGAAATAGTTGCTTGACTTGACTAGCCATCACATTCCATCCCTCCTGAAATAGTTGCTTGACTTTACTAGCCATCGCATTCCATCCCTCCTGAAATAGTTGCTTGACTTGACTAGCCATCACATTCCATCCCGCCTGAAATAGTTACTTGACTTGTCTAGCCATCACATTCCATCCCGCCTGAAATAGTTGCTTGACTTGTCTAGCCATCACATTCCATCCCGCCTGAAATAGTTGCTTGACTTGACTAGCCATCAAATTCCATCCCTCCTGAAATAGTTGCTTGACTTGACTAGCCATCACATTCCATCCCTCCTGAAATAGTTGCATGACTTGTCTTGCCATCAAATTCCATCCCTCCTGAAATAGTTGCTTGACTTGTCTAGCCATCACATTCCATCCCTCCTGAAATAGTTGCTTGACTTGTCTAGCCATCACATTCCATCCCGCCTGAAATAGTTGCTTGACTTGACTAGCCATCACATTCCATCCCTCCTGAAATAGTTGCTTGACTTGTCTAGCCATCACATTCCATCCCGCCTAAAATAGTTGCTTGACTTGACTAGCCATCGCATTCCATCCCTCCTGAAATAGTTGCTTGACTTGACTAGCCATCACATTCCATCCCTCCTGAAATAGTTGCTT